TATGATCTCTAGATCATTGAGGATCTCTAAATGGGAAGGTTATCCTCAGTTACCCAGTTGAATACAACCTAATCATATCAGCTTTTAAAAGCAGAGAAAATTTCCCAGCTGTGGAGAAACAAAGAGATATAGGAAAAAGAGGAAGATAGAGATGGAAGAAGGAGGCCATGAGCTAAGGAATACGGGCAGCCTCTAGAACCAATTTTTCCTTAAACCCCAGAAAGGAACATAGCTTTGCCCACACCTTAATCTTACTCTGCTGAGGTCTGTGTCAGGCTTCCAACCTCTAGAACTGCAAGATAATAAATCTGCTGTATTTTAACCAATTAAGTTTGTGGTAATTTGTTATAGCAGCAATAGAAAATTAATATATCTGTGTTTGTTATTAAGATCATACTTGGCTTATGAGATCAAATAGGACTCTTTTCCATTTATTTCCATTTTCAGGAAGCTTCTGTATAAGACTGGAATGAGATACTATAAGAAGATTTAGCAAAACTTTTTCTTTAAAATTATCTTGGCATACTACTGACTTTGTAAAGGTTTTTTGGGGTTTTTTTTGTTTGTTTTTCTTTGGTTTGTTTTCTTTTAATATTGGTTCAATTTCAAATTGTTACAAGATTTGAAGGGGAAGAAAAAGTTTTCCTCAACCCTCTTAGGGTCTCTGGCTGGATCTGAAATTTAAACTGACAAAGACGATTCACAGGAGAAAAGCAAACAAATTTATTTAATGTAAGATTTACATGATACAAAAGCCTTGTAAGGAAATAAAGATTTGAAGAAACAGTTAAACTTGAGTATTTCTAGTCTACCTTTGTTGAAGAATGAACAGTCATGTAAAATATAATAGGTCAGAGAGTAAACAAATGCAGTAAACTGGGGGAAATTTAGCAAGTGCTGTTCCTTAGAATGCTTCTTGGTGTCCCTTTGTCTTTGGAACAAAGATACTCCTTTCCTCTGGGAATAGGGATGGCAACACTCACCTGAGGGTTTTATGTCCTGTTTTAGGAAAGAGGGTCAGAGTGACCTTCCTATTTCTGCCATTTTCTCAAGCTCTTTTAGCTTAAAATATTCAGTATGCCAATATGCCATATTTTGGGGTAGTGTATCTTGAACCCCATCAGATTATTCTTATTATAAAATTAATCTTATTATTATAAGATTGTTCTCTTGTTGTATTACTTTGTTTCCAGGAATTTCAAATTTTCTTCTATCCAAATGTAAAGGTTCATAGTATTCTAATATCATCTTTTTAATCTCTGCTCTATCTTTAGTTATGTTATCTCTTCCATTATTACTACTATTTATTTGGCTATATCTCCTTTTGTTTATTTTATTTTTTTAACAATTCATCAGTTACCTATTTTGTACATAATTTTTTTTTTCAATATCTCTGCTTTCATGCAACTTTGGTCTTCCTTTGGGAGTAATTTCCTTTTATGCTGAAAGTAATTTTTATGCTTAGAACTTAGTTTACTGAAATTCTGCTGATGGTGAATATTCTCAGTTCCCACTTATGTAAACCTGTTTTTGTCTTACCCTTGTTATTGAAAGAGAGTTTGGCTGGTTAAAATACTAGATTGACAATTTTATCATTTCACTGTGCCCTGACTTTTGTTGTTGCTGTTGAGATACCCACTCTTCAATTTTTTGTTTTTGAGATTTGTTTATTCTCTTGGATTGCTTTTATGAGCTTCTCTTTGTCTCTGGAGTTCTAAAGCTTTAATGGAAAATGCAAAGATATAGATTAATTTTTATTTATCACATTTGTATACCTTGTGCTTCTTCTATAAATTCTTACCTTTCATCATGTCTAGAAAAGTTTTTGTCATTATCTTTTCCAAAGAAGGCTCTGCTCTACAATCTCTATTCTCTTTTTAAACTATGATGAGATAAGGTGTAGATCCTCTTATTCTATCTTCCCTATATTTTAACTTTGCTTTAGTAATTTTAAGTTTTTTATCTTTGTGCTGTATTTTCATTATTTTTTACAAAGAAACTTTCAGTTTCCTCATTGATTCTTCATCTGTGTTAATGTGATCACCCCTAAATTTTTAAAGATTACATTTTAGTTTTTAAAGGTGTCTCTTGTTGATATATGCTTGCTAATTTAGAAAACACTTTGCCTTTCATTTAAAAAATATTGTATACATATGTCTTATATCTGGTAATTACAATATTTGCAGTCCTTGGGATTTATAGCTATTATTTGTTGATTCTATTGACTCTTACCAGTGTTAGGTGGTTTCCTTTTGCTGTGATCTTGATCAGAGACCATATTTTGGCCGACATAAATGAATAAAAATCTTGAGGATTAATGCAACAATGAGGTTCTGATTTTACCTTATCAGTTGAGTAGAAATTTGTGAGTGAGAATACCCATTGCTAAAACAGATTTTTTTAAAGGAGAAAAACTTGAATGCTTATTGTTTGTAAGAGTTGAATATGCTAAATCACAAAGTTTTTTATAAACAAGATTATGTAGTAGTAGAAAGTTTAACTCATGTTCTTAATGTGTTTTTGATGCTACTAAATAAGTTTAAGCCACTGCCACGGCAGAAAAAAAAAATCAGTGAAGTCTTAGAGTGAGTTAATTATTTCAAGACTGGTTGGTAACCTTAATCTTATACAAGTAACAATTAAAAATAAGTATTTTACAAAAAAATAGTAACAAATGTACTTTCTTATTAAAAATAAAACATAAACTGGGAATTACAAGTAAAAATTCCTTAGACAAGAACTCAAATTTTATGATGACAAGATATAGGCTAAGTATAGACTTATCTTAAATGTTATGCAAACAAGTATGCAAATATTTCCTAGCCTTTTCTTATCCATTTGATAAGATATAATAGCTATATGAAAGCTTTGTCTTTTCAAAGCAGTTATATCAACATACAGCTTTGGACAGACCAAAATCCTTAGAAGTTCTCTTTGTTGAGCTATAATCTAGCACCTGCTCAAAACCTGCTCAAATTGAATTCAATGCTTTGCTTATTGGCATGGAACCCCTCTCTCCCTTGATGCCATTTGATTACTCTCTTTCCCTCTACCCTAACCTCAGCTACTTTACAGACAGACCTCCCTGTCCTCAAAAGAGACCAAAGCTCATACACACCAATCTCATTATGCTGGGTAACTCTACTGAATACAACAGCTCGAGTCACCACCTTACTTGCTCCTACAGGGAGAAGCAGGTACCCAGATTCAATGAATGGGGTTTGTACAGGGTTCACAGTGGCAAATGGAAGTTAATGTGACCTTGTTGGTTGAGGAATTTGGGCCAATTCAGGGTACTGTTTTGCTATTTTTATCTCTGTACATACATCATCACTCCAAAAGTGCAAAGAGGATTCTCCTAATCATGGAAGAGCTGCATGTAGAGAAATGCTAATGGAATACACAGCCCTAGTGACCCCTTTGAGCTCAAGTTTTGATGATAAGTTTCATTCAGTTGGGCTCTCTAACAATGGGAGGCAGCCTCTACCCTGAGGGACCCTTTAAGGTAGGAGGCTCATTGCCTCTGGCATGGTTACCAGCTGCAGCTGTTTTGAAACAAGCTAAGAGCTTGCTACTGGGCTCTTGGCAAAGTTAAACACCTGATCCATTGAAGCCTTGTGATTCTCTTGCCTGATATTTCCATTTTGGGGGTGGGTCAACTAGGACTCCATGACTAACAAGGTGGTAAAGGCCCAATAAGCCTAACTTGTCAGGTGAAAATGATATTCAAGAGCATAGTCAGCCTGGCCCCAGCAGCATCTCAGCATGGCCTGAAAAGTAGCAGCTGCCCTTTGAGGGAAGCTTCATCTCCCATTCTGTTCCCTGAAATGATGCCTCAGGTTCAATGGGGCTCTCAAATCACAGAGGTTTTCCTAAATGCCTGATTGGGTTCACTGATGGTGAACATCGATGTCGATTATGTTTTGAGCTAAGTAATTCACCTTCTAGTAATTTTGAGTGCAAGCATATCAACATGTGTACATAAAGTCATATTTGTAAAGATGTTTATTGCAACATTATTTAGGAAAGGAAATGACAAGGAACTACTAAAAAATCTCTCATTTAGGGGACTAGACAGAGAAATTCGTTCTACACAAACCATGGCAAATTTTTGTTTTGTTTTGCTTTTTTTCCCCAAAACATGACAAAAATAATGTTAACAATATTTTGTTCTAATGGACAATCAGTATTTCCTCAGTGCTATATAAAGTGTGAATAAAAGCCTGTTTTGGGCACCTTTTGCCTTTATTGACCAGCTACATACAACCTAACAAATAATGGTGTGCTTGTCTAGCAAAGGCAACTTTAAGGCAAGACCCTTAGCCTCTCCCTCAAACCCCGAACTCTCTGGTCCCACAAAAATATCACTCCTATGGTCCCCAGTGCAAATTATGGTTTCAAGATTTATTATTGAGTGAAAGCACAAGAGCTGAAAAATGCAAAATTTATCATTTTCATGTAAAAATAGCATACATAAAAATGTTTGCATGGACTCCCTCTGAAAGAAAACATAAGACATGTTAATAGGGTGCTTTTGAGGAGATGACAGGGGAACCTTGAAAGTCTCTGGTGAAAATAAGTCTTACTTTCAGTGCTATATATAAAGAAACATACTTAGGTAAAGAAGTAGTATCTCTGGTGAAAATCCAAAGCACTATTTATTTATTTACTGCCTGTTATTTTGCATTATTGCTACAACATCTTAAATTTATTCTAAGACAAAAAAAATTAAAAATATTTCAAAAAGCATTATTTAGCAACAATATAGGAGAAGCAATTCATATTTTGGTAGCGGCGAGAACAACAAAAATTGTGACATCTGTTGCTGAAAAGAAAAATATAATCCTGACCTGAATGCTGACATTAGAATTGGTAAGAGATAGAAATGACACACAACTAGAAAGACAAATGACTGGCAGAGAAAATAAATTTAGATGCAAAACTACCTATCAGAAAATTTCTCAGAATATAGAGCCAAATGGAAATTCGAAGACCAACCTAACAATGTCTTGCTTTTATTATTTATTTTGATGTCCTCTTAGATACGAGGCTATGGCCAATCAAAGAAACAAACAGTATTATAACAAGAAATTCTCAGTGTCATTTATTAGGTTTGAATAGCTGTGTTTCTCCCAGAATCCTATCTGGACTAGCCTCTGTCATTATCATACCGTACAGACAGACAGATGTCTCTGGGGCTTTAGGTGGAGATTCTTTTATTCCCATAGCACTTTGAAGGATTTGAGATGGAGAACGCTGTGCACTTGCCTCTGTATGTCTTCCAGACAGTGGAGAATGTGTTTGGGAACAGCAGCTTGGAGTTCATCTTCTGGGGCCTGTGAAAATACCTTTTGCCTTTGTAGGTTGGTGAACTGAAAAAAACAAAACCAAACCAAAAACCTTCAATAACTGGGTTGGTATTATATACTACCAGTACTCTTGGAATATTAATAGTAATTCACACAAACCGGTTTATAAAACTCTAAGAATGTAAGGTAGATCCTTCATCTTTCAGGAAAACAGTATCTCTTAAAACAATTATTTTATTCCATCCTTCGGTTGTCGCTAATGGCAACAGAAAGAATGCACTGGAGTGTCATAATAATCCTCCATTAAATCCCTAGTGTTTAAATTTTAATGCTATAATTCAAGAGCTGACAAAAGCCCATTGAGTGCATCTATGGGGTGGAAAACAGGCGGGCCCATTTTCTCAGGGGTGATACTATAGCAACATGGAATGAATTTGGGGTCAGGGAACAAGCGGTTTCCATGCTTTGTTTGCATTTCCTGGCTAAAAGTGGAATACAACATTATAAATTTTACCCAACTCAGTAGTTATTTTGAGCAGCAGGAAGATAGCTCCCTTGGTACTGCTGTTTACATTGAAAACAGAAGGTAACAAAACCAGAACTGGAAGAAATACATGCCGACAAATATATTAAGAAATGACTCTCAAAGTGACCACTTTAGAAGCCCCTAGAGCCTTCCTATGCTTGATATCCAAGCCCTCTCTCCTGGACAAATGATGCTTTTTAGAACATGGAGAACTAGTACAATTCCCAAACTGCCTTTTAAAAAAAAGGAGACAAAAGAGTCTGATTAACAATCCCTGAATGTGACTCCCTTATAGTCATGCAAGACATGGCAAAGTAGGATGTTGTTGATTACTTCTAGCTCTTTATAATGGTACTTCTGTTTTAGTGGGAGGATTTTTTTTTTCTACTAGAATAAACAAATACACCTGAATCACAATTGCCCATTGTGCAGCAAAAGGCAAAAACAAACAAACAAAAAAACTCTACCTAATTCCCAGAAGTTTGTGCTGCCAACTTTCCTTTCCCTAGGCATCTGTGTTTTCATTTTGGATTTTAGTGTTGAACTTCAGCATAATTGAGTCAGCATCCAATACGTAAAATTCTACATTTGGGGTGGTTATCCAATAAGGTGTATTTAATTACAGACTTCATTAATAATGGCTCACAATACACAAAAATGAAGGATGCTAGGTTTCCAAGTGTTGTCATAGAAGAATACATCTGTCAACCAGGTAGCTCAGAAAAACTCAAGGCATTCCTTCTTTTCCAGGCCCTCACTGTCTCATCTCAATAATTAAAAATCCTTGCCCCTCTTAACATCTCATAATCTCTAGCACCTGTACCTCTTGCAATTCATCCTAACTATAATGGCAATATTAATCACATTCCTAAAACAATAACAAAATTTCTCCCCATTCAAAAATCTTTGATGCCTACAGAATTGAATTCACATTCCTACAGTTTAACTCTGCTATTATAAGTAAGCCAAACTGTGTTAACTTGGTGTTCCATTAATATATCTTGCTTATTCTTTCCTCATAGTACATTTAGTTAATGGACCCTGCCTAGAAATTTTCCTATCATTATTCTGTATCCTTTAAGCTCAGTTTAAATGTCATCTTTTCCAGGAAGCCTTCCAGAATCACTCCATTTAGAAAATCGCTCCATAATTCACATGGCACACGTAGAATTGTCTTTGGGAACTTATTTAATTTCTTTTAATAATCTGTCTATTTTCACCTGAAGACAGGGACTATATGTTTAATTATTTTCTTTCACTCATTTCATACTTGGAAAGAAATGTTCTTTAAAAAATATTCTCTAGGGCCGGCCGAGTGGCGCGATGGTTAAGAGCTGGCTTGGGACACCAGAGGGCCCCGGTTCGGATCCCACATATGAGGGCCAGTGACACTGCCCTCCACAGCTAAGATGCTAAACAACAGCTCAACCTGGAGCTGGGCGGCCATGAGTCACCGGCGATGGCGTGGGCTGCAGTCCCTATGGCAGTGGGTTGCCATGGGCTACCGTATGTAGCCAGCAGCCAGCGTGAGCGGCCGTCCAGAAGCCGGAGACTGATCTGCCTCGCCCGGGAAGAGCACAATGATGGTGCCAACTTGGGCCAGAGAAGCAACACTCTCCACAACTAGACTGAAGAACAAAACAACAGCAACTTGTCTGTTCCCCTTCTCCCAATTCCCCAGCGCTGTTCCAATTCCTCAATTAAAAAAAAAATATTCTCTAAGCTGCATTGCTTACATAGTTTTGCTGACTAGGTACGCCAAGTATGACATTATCTACTAAAGGAAGCTATGGAATAAAAAATATTAATAAGTAATATATTACGATCAAGGGTTAAGTGCCTTAAATGAAAGAATGGTTTAGCATAAAAAAAAATAAAGGATAGTTAGGTTATTCTGCATGAAAAAAATAACCCCAATATCTGAGTAGTTTATCATTATAATAATGAACATTTTTCTCATGTTATGCTTCCAATGAACACGAGCAAAGAGATTCTGCTCATCATAGTCACTGAGGGATGCAGGCTGATGGAAGCACTTCTCTGCACATGTTTATACAATCACTGAGGCAGAAAAAGGGAACCTGGTGAACTACACCACACTGGCTTTGAAAATTTCTGTCCAGAAGTAACACACATCTCTTCTGCTCAAACTGCATAAGTCAAAGCAAGTCATATGGCCAACCTGACTTCCAGAGGACAAAAAAGTGCAATCTTACATGCTTTCAGAAATGGAGCCATTCTGAAATGTTTGGAGAATACCTTTAATGACTACTGCCCCATATTTTCCCAAGAGTTGGGGAAAAACAAAAGCAATACATTTCAAAATTTACTTAAAAACAGCAAAATACTTAAAATTAGAAAGCTCTCTAAGGTTGATTTCAATAAGCTTAGCAAACAACTTCCCTCTGGTGAAATTTTAGATATGTTCCCCTTAAGATTAAAGACAGGAATGCTTATTATCATTGCTATTGATCAATACAAACTGCAGCTCATGGTCAACACAATAAGACATAAAAAAGAAAATGAGGTATAAGGTTTGGAAAAGAAGAAAAAAAAAAGCTACCATTTCTAAAAGTATGATAGGAACTGCAGAAACTGCTTACCTTTTGGTTTTTCTATCAGAATCATTAATAATTATGAGCAAATTTATCATAAAAATTACTTTAAAAATCAAAAGTATAACATCAGTGACCTGTGGATAATAGGAAATGAACTAACATTTGTGTAATAAGAGAGACGAGAGTGTATGAAGCAGAAAAATTAATTGAGGAACTATTGGTTGTAAAATTTCAAAACACTATTTAAAAAATCCATCCATAATTACAAAAATCTAAGCAAACAGCAAGTGGGGTGGGGGGAACCTAGGCATGTTATATGAAACTGCTGAAAGCCAAAGTCAAGCAGGACATAAAAAGAGCAAGAGGACAAATACATATTAAATACAGGGGTCAACAATAAGAAGGCTGAACTCTCATCAGAAACAATGAAAATCAAAAAACAATGGAACAATATCTTTTAGCTTATAAAGAAAATATAAAATTTGTCCATGTAGAAAAGTACTGATCAGCAGACATGCACTACAAGAAATGCTAGAGGAAGTTCCTTTGGGTAAATATAAATGATAGCAGGTGAAAATTTGATTATACAAGAAAAAAAAAGAAATATTAAATATTGTGATAAATTTTATGAAAATAAATTATGCAAATTAGAAGGGATAAACTTGTTTTGAGAAGCACAAATCAAACTGACAAAAATGAAAGAAAAAAATTGAGTATCCTATTAAGTAAATAGAATTCGTAATTAAAAAGGTAGTCAAAATGTACAAACTTTACGTTATACAATAAATCATGGGGATGTAATGTACAGCATGTATTACTGTTGCAGGTCATGTTGCCCAGAAAGGTGACTCTGAGTTGGAGCTTAGTATAGAGAAAGTTTGGGGGGAATTGGTGTCAGGATTAACACCTGTGCGGGATGGGAAGGAATCAGAATTAGGCCAAGGGAGAAGCTCGGCTTCAATGCAGTAACAACAAGAACCAAGGCAAGTCCAAGAGGAGCCCTAAAGCTGAAACACCCCTTTAGATAATATATACCGAGTTGGGGAAAGGGGGCCAGGCTTTCACACCCCACATCAACCAGTCTTGGGAAGCGTCTTGCCTTCTGGAGGAAAAGTGATCTTGACCAATGCGGCCTCTTCAGGAAATAGCACACCCTAGAGATGACAGCTGAGAGCTCTCAGCCAGAAACACAGTCAGCAGTTGAGAGAGTGAGTCCTTTCCTGGATGGGAAGTCTGGGCAGTGCAGCACAGCACCCACGACTGCACACTCTTACATGGCTTGGGTCCTCTGGCTTTGTCTATGCCTTGAAAGTCATCCCTCCAGGACACTGGTGGGTCTCTTTCCAAGGTAAACTTGTTAGAGAAAAGTTAACGGGGAAAACTATACCTTTCGCTGATGCAGGTGGCTTGAGACTATAATTGTGATGTCATTTTCCTCTTCGTCTCCTTCCTCCACAATCTATCCTAGATTCTCTTCTCCCACAGCTAGCTTTGTGCTGGTCTTGGTGGCTTAGCTGGTGGGATGACTCAAAGTCACGTCTTATTGTGTAAACTCCTGGTCATCAAGCTCTTCTTAGACTGTGGCTATACTGTATGTCTATTTACCATAAAAAAATTGGGCAAACAAATACTAAAAGATAACCAAGAGCCAAACACATCCCGCCCTGTCCCCAATGTGTCATAACTTACCTTCTGATGTAATCAATTGCCTCTATCAATATGGTGTTCCTCTCTTTGCCCACTGGCCCCTTGGCAGGAGAAGTGGGAAGTGCACAGGCATAGATCAAGCTTATAATTTGCTGGCAGATGTTTCCTACATTAGGAACCAAGACCACTAAACCCACAGAGGTCAGAATTTCAGAAAAAGAAAGCGGAAACTCCCTATAGGTCATTTTACTTTCATTCCTTGGTTCCTGGCACCATGTATCCTATCTAATGGGGCCCACTGCCATATAATGGTCATTGATTTGAGCATATAC